TGGTCACCAAAAAGATTTTGACCATAATCAAATTCCATAATCACAACAAGGACATCCTTAAGGGCATTCTGCATAATATATCTGTGTAAGATTCATGTAACTGGGTTGTTGATTAATTCCATTTTGTAGGCAATATCTCCTTGGATCAATTTTATTACTAGTGGACAAAAAAAAGAACAAGAGCCCTTTGAGGAATCCAGTAAATGTGAAACAAAATTTTCTGAGGAATGGCTTCCATTTTGAAATTCTAAGATGTATATTTTGCATTTTGTAAACCTGGAACCATTGATTTTCTGAAATTATATGTTCTAATTCTTTATTATCCACAACAATAAAGTTATCTATCAGAGATTAGATATAGCAAATATTATAGTTCAATCATATACAATAGTCTGTCAGTTTTAAAAAGCAACCATTAGATATCATCAGATTTAAACATGACTTGATCTTGCATTTAGCCAAAGTGTACTAATACAAGATCTTCCTTGTTTCCTTCAAATAAAGATTAGTCCACAACATCAATTTGTGATACGTCTAATTGTACGGTTAAATCTCCAGTACAGATTATATATTGAAAGTTTTCTGAATATAGCTTAGAAAAAAAAAACTATTAAGTGTTTCAGAAGTATTGTTAATTGTGCCAAAATATATAATGAGATAAGAGATCAAAGTAGCTATCTTTGCTATAAAAATTAATATATATCTATTCCACATCATTGGTAAGATTGCCTTTAAATGTAATAGTCATCCCACATGCTTTATTTCAGTAACTATTAATGTAAGCACTTTCTCCTAATTATTGACCTCAAGTGTCCACTGAACGTTTAGCAGCTCGTATAAGGGGGTATTGATTATTTCTGAAGTCCGTATACAAAGACATTACATCCGTATCGTTGGTGTCCCCAACCAGAGAGAAAGTGAAATTCTGGAGCAGAGCACTGAAGAACAGGAAGAGCTCCATCCTAGCCAGGGCCTCCCCTGGACAGGCCCTCTTCCCTGCAATAGAAATGAAGAAACAGAGGTTATTTAGGAAGTACTTGCTGGAATTGTCTCTGATAAAAGACTAACGTGGATCAGGTAAGCATACGAATTAGTAATACAATCTGTTCCAGAGACCTGTACCTGCTGAGAATGGCATGAAAGCATCCTTTTTCCTGAACTGGCCGTTTTCATCCAAAAAATGATTGGGATTGAACTTTTCTGGAGTCTCCCAATGAAGAGGGTCAAAATGTACAGAGGC